TCATGGTAGAATATCGATTGGAATTTGTTTCATATAGGCGAAAGCAGCCTCGACAGCACATTTTGGGGGAGACCAGAAGACCTGCCAGCCAATCTGAAAGCATTCGCGGCCCGGAAGTGACGTTGCTGGCATCACAGCTGCAGCCATGGCAGATGGGTCAACGCTACACAAGACAAAACGTAGAATCAAGCATAGCTTGGACATAAAATATAGTTGTGGTCCATATATACACATTCACTACGATGGTGGGGTAGCCAAGTTGTTGAGTGGTTCGCATTTCACGCTGAAGACTCATCTTCGATTCACGATATGCGTACATTGTGAAAGTCCTGTTGCTCGAATTCTGTTAAAAGCGGCGTAAAACCCAACTCGCTCATGTTCACTAACATAAAGACATGTATCAGCATGTTTATGTATCAGCATGTTTATGTGTCAGCATACATGATAGCAATATGTTGTAACACAACATATGCTATACATAATTAGTTAGATTTACCAATCATTGATCTTGGCCATCTATTCTGACAAATGATGTTCTTGACGCGAGAATGCCACATTTGGACACAATTATTTGCAATTGTAATTATCTATCTTCAAGATGAAATATACACTACGTAGGGCGTTATCAGTGCAGTTCGCCAACAGTGTTATCAAACACACATTATGCACCAGTGATTTATATAAGTTCAAGTTTACCCCTTCAGTTACATTATCGTTTCACCCTGGCAGCCGGTAGAAATAGAGTGGCTCCATAACACAGTATGCATCCACAACATAGAGAGATCACACAACAACGTAAGAGCAATTTATTGCTCTCAGTAAAGACAATTTAAAATGTCAAAAATATTGTCCCATATCCCACCAAGCTCCAATGAATTTCACATTACACATAAATCCATCGAAATCCACTTGATACATTGTGGTACAACCTGGATTTACACAGAGACTTAGCACGTATTCCCTCTGATGTTATCTCGAATTATTTATTGTTAAATAATTAATCTGTTTGTTAATCTTTGTTTTTGGTATGGTCAATGGTCTTGTGTTACTAAACAACAAAGTGCAGTTTCATATGTAAATCTCCTGTAACTATTTATTGTTTCAGACCAGTTGCATTCATTAATATCATCATATCAATACCTGTCGAACCTATCCTCTACTCAACGTTAAGTGGAAATATATTTCATTGTTTATAGCTTCTGTCACAGTAAACATAACTAGTAGTGTATACACCACGAGAGATTTAACCGCGTGCTTAACCAGTGGTTTGTCTGGGTCAGACTCGATCATAGACAGGCCACCATGCTATAACATCGTCGACTGCAGGGTATCACAACATTCACTTACTTCCTGCTTAACGGCACATGTCGCCTTCTGAAGTGGGTCCGACACTTACAAAACAATGAACCGGAAAATAAACCAGGACACGACAAACATTACCCCTGTCATTTCGTGTCAATACACAAGGAAGAGGATCCTACAGACTGACCTACAGCCAAATCACACACGGATAAATACAGCAAACTACACAACTTACTGATGAGTAATTTTCTCACTTCAAATACAAATATTGAACCATAGTTAATATATTAATCAGATCATAACAAATATAGAATACAAAACGAGTTCCCGTGTAATACCAATTTTATGAAACGAGTGAATAGTTCTGGTATCTGACTCGCTTTCGCTCGTCAGATACCACAACTATTCACGAGTTTCATAAAATTGGTTTTACACGGGAGCAAGTTTAGTATTTTATTTATTACTTGCCATTTATAATGTTTTTAGAATTATACCGTTGAATGTGAATAGGCTGACACCTACACGATCCATTGCATAATCCAATTGAGTTTAACAGAATAATACTTCAAACACGTCAAAAGTTGAAGCGTATGAATTTAATATCATACAATGGTCCACCTTTAGAATTCAGGTGTCCGTCCCACGAAATTATCATAGCGCTAAGGCTATCGCAACTCACATACTTTAACTTATTACTTGCCCGTGAAGAGATCACCCGTTTAATAAACATACAGCTTTATTACACATTGTGTAATACCAAAACGCGTGCTTATGTACTCTCGGAACACGTTTCACGAACAAATATTGAAAGCTCTCAACATCCCTTGGCGTATTCAACGACATTGTGTGTGGAGATGATAGATCACTGGGAGGAGCTTATGCACACTCGATGACCCCAGCAACCTTGTTGCTAGGCTGACGTCACATGGCATTGTTTCGCCGATGGATCTTGCAACAAAATTCCACAAATTACGTCATCGGGTATTGTGACGTGATTGTAAACTTTGAGGTGCAAGGCCCCGTTCCACAAGGCGATCGTACTCTAGCGCAACGACAGTCGTTAGTCTAAGTTAAATTATGTGAGTTGTGATAGCCTTAGCACTACGATAATTTTGTGGGACGAACGCCTTAATTCTAAAGCTGGACCATTGTATGATATTAATTTCATACGTTTCAACTTTTGACGTGTTTGAAGTACTGTTAAACTCAATTGGATTATGCCATGGATCGTGTAGGTGTCAGCCTATTTACATTCAACAGTATAATTCTAAAAACATTATAAATGACAAGTAATAAATAAAATACTAAACTCGCTCTCGTGTAAAACCAATTTTATAAAACTCGTAGATAGTTGTGGTATCTGACTCGCTTTCGCTCGTCAGATACCAGAACTATTCACTCGTTTCATAAAATTGGTATTACACGGGAGCTCGTTTAGTATTCTATATTTAGACTACTGACTGTCGTTGCGCTACAATACGATCGCCTTGTGGAACGGGGCCTTGCACCTCAAAGTTTACAATCACGTCACAATACCCGATGACGTAATTTGTGGAATTTTGTTGCAAGATCCATCGGCGAAACAATGCCATGTGACGTCAGCCTAGCAACAAGGTTGCTGGGGTCATCGAGTGTGCATAAGCTCCTCCCAGTGGTCTATCATCTCCACACACAATGTCGTTGAATAAGCCAAGGGATGTTGAGAGCTTTCAATATTTGTTCGTGAAACGTGTTCCGAGAGTACATAAGCACGCGTTTTGGTATTACACAATGTGTAATACAGCTGTATGTTTATTGAACGGGTGATCTCTTCACGGGCAAGTAATAAAACACAATGTGTCACAGTTCATAAACTTTCATCGAATAATATATAGAGAGATGCACTTGTGCAATGTGGGAATCCTGTTGTCGACGTCCCCTTTCGTGATGTTGCTGTGGTCTACTGGTAAAGCGTCCGCCCGGAGAGCGGACGGTCCGTGGTTCGATCCCCGGCCGCGTCATACCAAAAGACGTTTTAAGATCATGTTAGCCTGTATGGCGCCCGGCATTATTGGGATAAAACAAGGACTGGTCAGCTCGGAGTCAGTATACTGTGTCTAAGTGAAGGTATTCATGTTAAACTGTGGCATGGTATCTCAATGGGCTGGCACTATGAATCGTCATCAGTCCGGACTAGTACAAGCACACGCACGCACTCATACACCTATAAACGAACACGGAACACATATCACACATTCTGAGTGTAACTATTGTTGAGGGTGGGAGTTGGAGTGGGGTTGGGGTGGATGGGTTGGTGTCGGTTCAGGTCAGGCTCACCTTCTTGGATTCATAACTTGAATTCATAATATGGGTGTCGAAGAAGTGTCTGTGGGTGTAGGTGTTGGCTTTGGTGGGTGGTCGATGAAGTAAGTGTGAAGGGTGTGGGGTATGTGGGTGCGGGTTTGGGGTGTGCTTGTGGCATGCGGAATGCGGGGTATTAGTTTATGTTTCACGTTATTGGGGTCCAATAGTGACAGTTTGGTTGGAATCCGCCGCTATTTTATCCGTTATGTAACACATCGGATGCAAGGGATTCGCCCTGCCGAGGAGAGTATTTCATCTATATCACGACCTGTCACCTTCATAATCGTTGTGGGGGCACGGGTGGCCCAGTCGTCTAAGGCGCCGCGATTCGCTGTGTAGAGTTGCGTCCCTTGGGCACGCCAGAAACCTATGATTGTGGGTTCGAATCCCGGTTTACCCCGATTATGTTTCTAGGTTTGTCAGCACCATACCCGTGCTCGTAGGTTTCACCGAAGTGGTAAACGTCTGAGACCTGCATCACTTCGGGCTTTCCTCCCACATTAAGCTGACACGCCGCGATATAACTGGAATACTGTTAAAAGCGGCGTTAAACCCAACTCACTCACTCACTGACTCATAATCGTTTTGAATCTGGTATTAGACTTGGTATGACTCACGAAGGAAACAATAAATATTGATGTCATTATATAATGAAATAAAACATTACCAGGTAGGACAGAACGGCGGTAATAACTTCTGATATTTACACAGTGTGTTTTAGCGATGGCTGATCGGTTAGTGGAAGAAACATGTCGTCACATTGGGCCATTGTTTTTAATACGATATGACGTCATTCACTATTACATTACGTCACCAGAACAATAGATTGAATTGAGTGAAATAACTTTGCAGGGTTTACATTTCATATGATTGTATAATGTTCCGTTTAATTTGTTTGTTTATTTGTTGTTTAACGCCGCTCTCAGCTATATTCCAGCTATATGACGGCGGTCTGTAAATAATCCAGTCTGGACCAGACAATCCAGTGATTGACATCATGAGCATCGATCCACTCAATGGTGATACGATAAAATGCCTCAACCAAGTCAGCGACCCTGACCACCCGATCACGTTAGTCGCCTCTTACAACAAGCATGGTCGCCTTTTACAGCATGCAAGGGTTGCGGAAGACCTATTCTAACCCGGATCTTCATGGATCGTTCGGTTTAATGTTCGGACATGCTATTAATGGCGAAAACACATGAAATGTCACTTGCATTGTTATCATCTATATTGGCGTAGGACAATGAAATTGTCCGGAAACTGAACACGGAACAACGAATTGACACTGATGATTCAGAAATAGTTGAGCTGTTGCTCCCAATGCCCACTGTCATCGAGTTACACTTCCTGGTAGGACACTGGCTGTAGAAGGGTTGAGGGGGAAACATGTCTGTCTCAAGGCTCTTGATAACCGTGTATTTTCAACATTCTGCATTATACTCCATCTGGATATTCCTTTGGATGGACGGATCTGCAGCCGGTAAGGATGTATCATACATAACACAAATCATGATGTCAAAGCGTTGATAATTCCAGTGGTGTGTTGACAGGTTGATTACATGTGACTGGGCTACTCAATTTACGTTGATTATGTGTGTGTAGGGTAGGGTTTCGGGTTTATTTTAACGTAGCTTGAAATATCGATTGAAACCGGTCGTATGCAAAATACACTCGACGTCACTGTTACTTCATGAGAGTGTAGCATGACGTCATTCACCAACAAGACTGCCCTGCAATGTTTGTTTGTTGGTTTATTTGTTGTTTAACGCCGAACTCAGCAATATTCCAGCTATATAACGGTGGTCAGTCTGGACCAGACAATCCAGTGATTGACATCACGAGCATCGATCCACGCAATTGTGATACGACGACATGCATCAACCATGTCAGCGAGCCTGACCATCTGATCCCGTTACTCGCCTCTTTCGACAAGCAGCTCTGCAATGATTCTGGGGCGGTCGGGGTAGCCTAGTGGATAAAGCTTTCGCTCGTCACGGTGAAGACCCGGGTTCGTTTTCCTGCATGGGCACAATGTGTGAAGCCGATTTTTGCTGTCCCCCGAAAGGTGCGATATTGCTGGAATATTGCTAAAAGCAGCGTAAAACCATACTCACTCACTGCGATGATTCTTCTGGTTAAACCCAGACTGATGCTATTATTAATAAATAATCATAGATTAAAGACAACAATTCAAAAGTAAACTAAGGTAAACGAGAAAGAATTGGGATATGATTTCGACAGGCCATGTTTTAATTATAACATTTGACACAAGGCGCTCGACAGTAGGTCACGACAGGAAGTGAGATATTTTATTAGCCCAAGGGATAAAATGATTTATTTCCTGTAACCGTGTCGCTTTTAGCAAAAGCTTTCAAATAAATGCAGAGAATGGGATATCAGGGGCGGCGATGTAGCCTAGTGGTTAAGCCTTAGCTCGTCAAGTGGAGAGCCCGGATTCGAATGCTCACATGGATAATGTGTGATGTGCATTTGTGTTGTCCAACGCCGTGATATTGCTGGAATACTCACTCACTCACTCACTCACTCACTCACTCACTCACTCACTCACTCACTCACTCACTCAAGCACTCACTCACTCACTCACTCAAGCACTCACTCAAGCACTCACTCAAAAAATCCTAACAGGCTGGACTCAGTATAATCCGCCTACGTTGTAAATGCAGTAACACTTCCTTGAGCTATAAACACTCTACGTAAGGTGAGTCATTGATGTACAACAGAGCATCACAGCAACAATGAGTGAGACGAAACAGGATATAACTGGCAACCTATGTTACAGCTCTGTAGCTCGGTAGCTTTGCAGACTCAGAAAAGAGTTAACCATTCATTTCTCTTAACGTATGCTCAAAGGTAAAAATAACTTCATCATATACAATTGACTGATAACTGAAACTTCATTATTATCATAATTGTATGGATGTTTTTGATCGGTCACTTTCCTGAGTGTGAGTAATAAACCACTGGCCAAAACTACGAGAGTAAGCTTGAGTCTTTAGTGTATAATAAGTTAACAAAGAACCTTCAACATTGAGTTTCCCTTCCAATCTTGTGTAATTTATAGAATAAATGCGACAAAAAACTTTCCATATTCATAAAAAAATCTGTGCCAAAAACTATATCATGAATTTATCATGAGCATGTGTTTATGAATCAGTATCAAATAGTTATAGTACCAGGTGTCCAAAAGCCCAGGAAACTAACGAGACATTTAACCTTAACTTATATAAATGACAATATAAATAAATTGAACACAATACCCTTTCTTAGAATAAATTTAGATTATCTATAGATTAACATTTTGGTAACTTTTAGTTCAACCCCGCTTTATACAATATTTCTGTCACACGTATCTCAGAGCACGTGAGCTTGACATGGAAAGAAAACCCAAAGAATGTTTTGCACATTATTGATTACAACCTTGTCATATATATTTGGGTTGCAATGGTGAGCAAAATGTGTCCTGTGTCGGGATATCGATGGCAAAATGCTCTTTATGACAATGACATATGCATACTTTCGTCCAATAGCCATATCAGGATGTGAAGATTCTGGGTTCGAATCCAATTTTCGTCCATTATGATTCTGGGTTTGTCAGCTCAATATCCTTGCACGAGAGTACGAACTGCATCATTTCAGACTTTCTAAACACATTCTGACACGCCATGATATAACCAAAATATTGTTCATTGTCGCACCCTTCCAGTTATTCATTAATAACGGACCCGTGAAGTAGAATTGGTCTTCAACAACCCATGCTTGCCTTAAAAGGCGACTATGCTCGTCGTAAGAGGCGACTAACGGGATCGGGTGGTCAGGCTCACTGACCTTGTTGATGCATGTCATCGTATCCCAATTGCGTGGATGTCATGGTGTCAATCACTGGATTGTCTGATTCAGACTCGATTATTTACAGACCGCCGTCATAAAGCTTGAATATTGCTAAGTGCGGAGTTAAACAACAAATAATCAAACAAACAAACATTAATAACGATATTTGATAAGTTGTTATATTGTACATACAAACAGACAGTGCGATGTCCTGCAAGCAATTCTCAAATCCTGATACGGAAACAACAGTTTTCAAGGACGATGGCTGTTTCATATTGTCTCGAGAGGACAGAACGTGGGAAGAGTCGCAAACCTTCTGCAATGGCCTGGGTGATGGATGGTCTCTTGTTGAGATAGAAGACGCGGAAACACAGAAGCATGTTGACAGTGTCACACGTACAGCTGGTGTCTCTACAGGGTCATGGATAGGTCTTCGTCAGCGAAATGGTTTCACATGGGTAACAGGTAAGCAATGAAAGAACAGCCATTTGGTATAGTTGGCGACACACTTCAGTCATAAAGAAATGAACACATGTACAACCACATTGCATCTTGAACTACGCTCTTACACGTTGTTAAAGATTTGGATGTCTCTCAATCAATATATTGTCATTACAATGCTATGACATGTTTTCTTTAGTATGATGTGTTTTTTAAATAGATTTATTGGTAATCTTTGCCCAAGTTGTGGTTGGAAGTCTGATTCAATAAACGTCAAACAACAACTTTCTTCAGGGAAAAGACTAGGGTATCCAGGTTTCTTCAAAGAACTGGCAGTAGGAGAAGTCCAGTCAACAGGAGACTGTGTTACAACAAGCCCTCCAGATGTCACAGCCTCCTATGGAATATGGAGCTATATGGACTGCACTGCAAGACTGTACAGCATATGCCACTCAGGTAGGAACTGCAAGTATGAACATCATATCACCTCGGCATTCTCGGCATTCTCTCCTACTCTCTTAATCTAAATATATATCTAAAATCTACTCGTGTATCAATATCGTCCATGTCGTATTTAAATATTTCTGTGAACTAGTATACATGTCAGCATGTATTAACACCAGTTATGTCTTTCATCATGTCACAAAATAAATCAGCACAAATCTGCTGTTGGGAAGCTCAGATAATAGGACTTATTTTCATTAAAATGTCATTACTCGTTCAATAATTGCTACCTTTACATGTATTGTTGGCCTCTACTCCAATGGTCATGACTTCCTGGATCATCATGTGCATCATATGGTAACACGATCCTACCTCCATCTAACTGAGTGCATTTACGTGTAGAACGAAGTCGGTTAACAGTGTTACCATGTCATGCATGTTTCCAAGACAAAAACTATCGATACATCAACCATTTCTTTAGTCCTTACACCAGGTTCCTCACTACCTCCAAGAAAAACGATGACATCTCGGCGTACAACGGCATCTACAATGACAGTAAAAGCAACTCCAGCTAAACCACAAACGACTGTAAAATATGGAGCAACACAATCCACAGCAGCAACAACGCAATCCACAGCAACAACAACGCAATCCATAGCAACAACACAATCCACAGCAACAACAACGCAATCCACACCGACAACAACACAATCCACAGCACCAACAACGCAATCCACAGCAACAACAACGCAATCCACAGCAACAACAACACAATCCACAGCAGCAACAACACAATCCACAGCAACAACAATGCAATCCACAGTAACAACAACGCAATCCACTGCAACAACAATGCAATCTACAGAAGCAGCAACCACACAATCCACAGCAGCCATGACAACATCTTCAACGACAGGCAAGGACCCTTTTCTGTTTTCTAAAACATAATTAAGGGTGTGAATTGCCTTTAGGATATCAGCTGCATTTATTACTTTGATGGGTTTAATCTGTACGAGTACTAGTGCCATTATCTGGCAAGTGCTTGACAAAGATACCAGTCACATGTCGTCACTGACAGCACAGCTTCTAATGTGTTTATACTCCAGTTGGGAGGTGCGAAGTGATGAGAGGGTGTCAATGTTATTACGAAGTAGGGATTCTTCACTGATTATTGCTAAAAGACCTATAGGCATAAAACTAGACTCACTGACCTAGTCACTGACCAGACAATACTCAATGTCTGCCATTATTGATAGAACCATAGACGATTGATATTGTTACTTCATCCTCCTGATGACTTCAGATCTATACCTGTATCCTGACCTGCTTCCTATAATTATCTGCCGTATGAATATATAAGTAAATACCTACACTCGTGACAATACTATTCTTGTTCCTTTCTTCCCGCTGTGATATTGCTGGAATGACCAAAAGCGGCGTATAGCCATCACTTCCTCTGTGAAATTAAGAAATCCAGTTATGGTAGCCCTTAAGGAAAGTAACAGACTCTTCGTTTGATTTTACTTCAAACTCAAAATCAACAAAATTATGACACACAATGAATGCAAGTGTTTGTGACGGGTACATTCAGTGGGGCAGGATAAGCTCGCCTTTTCGCGAACACCTGGTGTCATCATTTTGTCGTAGTGATTCCTATACACATGCTTGTCTAATCTCCGAATCGTACAGTGATTTCCTGTGATTGTTAAAAAGGTTTTGTCGATTTTGTTTACAACTACGAATGTGCATTATTCTACAGATTTAATTTCGTTTGTGTTTCAGTCCTTATTGCTGTCTCATCTACAGCTGCATTTGTAGCTGCTGTGTTCTTAGTTGGGGGTGTAATTGCTCTCTGTCGAAGGTAATACCTACTAAAGTTTTGTAATTGTTAGAGAAGGTTATACCTACTTAAGTGTTGTAATTGATCTCTGTCAAAGGTAATACCTACTTAAGTGCTGTAATTGTTCTCTGTCGAGAGTAATACCAACTAAGGTGTTGTAATTGTTTGAGAAGGTAATACCTACTTAAGTGTTGTAATTGTTCTCTGTCGAGGGTAATACCTACTAAAGTTTTGTAATTGTTTGAGAAGGTTATACCTACTTAAGTGTTGTAATTGTTCTCTGTCGAGGGTAATACCTACTAAAGTTTTGTAATTGTTTGAGAAGGTTATACCTACTTAAGTGTTGTAATTGTTCTCTGTTGAAGGTAATACCTACTTAAGTGCTGTAATTGTTCTCTGTCGAAAGGAATACCAACTAAGGTGTTGTAATTGTTTGAGAAGGTTATACCTACTTAAGTGTTGTAATTGTTCTCTGTCGAGGGTAATACCTACTTAAGTGTTGTAATTGTTTTCTGTCGACAATAATACCTATTTAGGTATTGTAATTGTTCTCTGTCAAAGGTAATACCTACTTAAGTGTTGTAATTGTTTGAGAAGGTTATACCTACTTAAGTGTTGTAATTGTTCTCTGTCGAGGGTAATACCTACTTAAGTGTTGTAATTGTTTTATGTCGACGTTAATACCTACTTAGGTGTTGTAAATGTTCTTTGTCCAAGGTAATACCTACTTAGGTATTGTAAATTGTTCTCTGTCGAAGGTAATACCTACTTAAGTGTTGTTATTGGTTGTAAGGGTAATACCTTCTTAAGTGTTGTAATTGTTCTGTGTCGAAGGTAATACCTATTTAGGTATTGTAATAGTTCTCTTACGAATGTAATACCTACTTAAGTGTTGTTATTGTTCCCTGTCGAATGTAATACCTACTATGGTGTTGTAATTGTTCTCTGTCGAGAGTTATACCTTCAAACGTTTTGAAATTGTTCTCTGTCGAAGGTAATACCTACTTAAGTGTTGTTATTGGTTGTAAGGGTAATACCTACTTAGGTGTTGTTATATTGTACTGTGTCGAGGATTATTATTATCATTATTATCATCTTTATTCCTCCATAGGAGAGTTACATGCAATTCATTACGGTTATACAGATATTAACAAGAGAAATAACAAGATTAGGTTAAGGGTCAGGATATAGTGTCAAACACAGTTGGTGTATGTTCTGGATCACAGTTCTTGCAAACAGCTCATTGTCTTCTTCACTCGCTTGTACAGGAGGTGTGCATGACAACAGACTGCACACTAGGTCAACGTCACACATGGAGTGTAAGGTAACACTCAATTCAACTGGACAACAGTTGACAATTTCACACCACATACGATCCTTGATGAATTCTGATGCTCTGCAGTGGCATATCATATGGACCAGAAGATCATTATAACCTTTGTCACAACGTTCGCAGTGACCATGTACTTTGCCTGGCCGCCAGAGTGCGCACATGTCCACAACAAATTTGCAGGAGTCTTTTAATAGGGGCCAATGCTTAGCAGCTTTCCATGCTTTTAATTTTTGTTATTGCTCGTGTTGGTAATATCTATTTAAGAGGCCGGCGGGAGTATAGGGACCTCTTAAATAGATATTACCTTCACGAACAATTACAAAACGTAAGTAGGTATTATCTTCACGAACAATTACAACACTTAAATTGTATTTGTGAGTGTTTAACTATATGTTGCACTGAGTTTGTTAAACTAACGGGAGCGATAAGTACAAGAGAATGTCATGAACCTTTACTCCCAACTTGTTTCAGAAACAAACAGAAAAGACTGCGTGTCAGGACCAATGACACGATGGCAGGTGACGACACTGAATCTGGTACAGTAGCGGATGTAAGGACAAAACCAGAGGTTGAGTACGCTGTTGTCACGAAAATACAGACGAAACAGTCATCACAAGTGAATGACTGTAACACTGAGTCAGGCTACCATTACGCATCCGTGGATGATGGCGCTCTTCCCATGAAGCAAGGCGTCAATGACCAAACATATGACACAGCAACAATCACAGAGAAGAAACAACCAATCACCTTTGACAACACATATGCTCGCGCGATATTCAGCCAATCAGCATCGGACACAGGGGATGACGTGTATGATCACACGCGTGTGTCCGGGAAGGCGTCACAAGAAGTTGATGCAAGCCATTACGACCACGCTTTCGTCAAATAACAATCTCGCAATATTGGATGTTAGGTTAAATCTTAACATGTACATATTTGCAAATCAATACTTTTGTATCCGAGGTGCCGTTTCTTTGGTAAGCATGTTAAAGTTTCTATTTTATAGCATTCTGCATATTTGTATTTCGTGTCCAGATAAACACGCCAGGCGATGGAAAACCAGAACCTCATAATTACCATGACAACCGATCTGGATCGGGTGGTTATATGTAGAACCTGGTAAATGTGTGTCGCCTTGGTCTCTGGCTCAGACTTGACTATTTACAGAATAAGGAAGAGAATATATGGAGGGCTCTCTGCCTCATGGCATTTATTCACCTGATGAAGGAGTAAGCATATATACTCCGAAACCTTGTGTTCCTCATAATACAGAAGTTGACATCCATATATACATCCATTCTCCTTATGTGTGTCACTTCTAAATGCCTTTCAAAGATCCATTTACAGAGTGTTGTGATATGGCGTTCAAGCAACATTCACTCAATCATCCCGACTATGCATGCACGTCACAATATAAATGCAATAATCTTGGGCGCGACATCAAACCCCATCTACCTCATCTCCTTTTATGGCAGACATGTTGAGGTCATTTCCAAATTTGACACATCAGTGACAAAAATGAGGTCCGATGCAATTCCTTATTTTGACTTGTACCGTATGTTCCTGTGTTTTTTCAGGTGAACAATTTACTTGCCTGTGCATGTGTTTGTGAAGGGTTCAACTGGTGGGGCAGGATACGCTCACCTTTTCGCGAACACCTGGTATCATCATACTATCACTGAATTTTCGCTGTGTTCATTGCAATTCCTGCATTCTGATTACCTGAATTGGTCAGGTGTTATTGCATTCATTTTCAAAATTAGGCCACGCCCATCTAAGGGACTACTTTTATTACTACGGAATTAAGGGGAATTCCCTTTCTGCTCACGTGAATCGTCGCCTTCTCCCGGACGTATTTGTTCCGGTTCGTTACTGTTGCAGTTCTTCTCGCCTCTTGCCTTGATTGACAGGTCCTATAAACTTTGTTTGGATCCTACTCTCCGTTGATTGGCTACTGACTTTGTGGGCGTGTCAAGTTATGGATATAAATGAAACAATCACCTGATTCATGTCACGCCACAGTATGTATTCCTACAATGAAATGTTTATAAATGTCGTCATTTGTGTCTGCTTTGATATATGCAACTGTGTTTGGGTAAAATATTGAAGATAACGCATGTTTTCGTTGTCGAATTTAATTATGAAGATTGACTGTGTGTGATTTTCGGTTCATTGAGGTATGACTTGAAAAATCGAGGTACCTCAATGAACCGAAAAACCTACCCAGTCAGTCCTAAATTAGCAGTGATTCATAAACACATGATCATATTACAATCGGAATCGTACAATCGACTCTGGTTTTGACAGGGGTTTCTTATGAATACTGAAAGGGTTTTGTCGCTTTAATTAACACTACCACCTCACCGTATCTGTTCACGGGAGGAACGTGGGGCTGCCCCGATGGTTTTGGGTTCGAACTTCTTCCAGTAAAGTGCTCAGGTTGTTGACTGTGGCCATGTACGATACGGGAGCTGGTGTCTGGAGCCAGCTTTGACAGCAGTGGAGCAAGATTATGCCATTTCTTGCGGCAAGTACCTTGATGTCAATAGACATGACTTCAGACGGCTGGTTGACTTTTATCACCAGTGCCTACGCCAGTGTATGCAAGTGGGTCACCCCAAAGTCACCCTGCAGTAGACTGGTACCCGGTAGAATAATATATGATAATATGATAATCACCCCTGTAACAGACGTGTTGTCATGTTCTGTTGTGCTATTATAGAGATTTGTTGTAGGATTATAACTCAATATTTTGTCCCGACTGTTACAAACAAGTAAAGACTTAGTAAGGATGATACTTATGGATGAACAACTTTTTTATTACAATTGTTCATCCATAAATATTATCCTTACTCAGTACTTCAACTTCTAAATGCCTCTCATAGAAGTAACGACTTGCCCTGATGACATGACCAGGTATAAGGACATGGTTCAAGCATAATGCCATACTAATATATTGCGTGAAAGATCAAAGACAGAAACTGTCAAAAGGCTGCCTCGATTAAGGGACTTTATATGTACCCGACTAATTTCAGTCTCTAAATAATTAATTGTCATGTCATCAACCAGAGAAGCAGTGGCAACGCTGTAAACATTTAAAACATGCGATACCCACGCTTGAAGATTGACGGTCACGTGATCTTCTTTCAAGTACTAAACTGGTTCCACTGTTGGTTAGCGCAGATAGCGCAGCGCGTTTAGCCAACATGAGGCCTACCAGGGATAGAAATCTGTATCCAAGTCGGTTGTGAGGCGTCCTTAAATACACACGTATGTCTTCACCTCGACAGTTTGTTTTTGAGCGATAAAAGCTACAACAAACCTCTGTTGATGTTTGAGTTTGATTTTGATAGAGCGATTTTACTTCACAAACAAACATCAAGTAGTCTGCTATTTGACTTGCATGCCACACTGAAGACCAGTCAATGCAGTGCAATGTGTCGTCCCATCGCAACCTACACATGGGGCGATGAAATATTTGTTCAGCTTAGTTGCAAAACCACATGTGTTTATTCAAAATAAAATTTGACCCTGAAATTTCACTTAGTAAAAACACCTTGCAACAATGTATTTTTTGCAAAAACAGTTTCTTTTGTTTTAACAGCCTGTTAAAGGGGCACTGATCTAACGCATTTCCCTGGACTGGTTTTTGCCTTTGTTATTGTTTTTCCCCCCGTGAGTACCCGGATGATACGCAACGCAACTGAGCGTGACCAGAGACTGGGCTACCGTCTGCAAGAACAGCTAAATAAACTTGGAGGCTGGAGGCAATATTTGTTTTACGCATTTTTGCATAAACACTGATTGGTTAACCGTGATCTATAAAGATTTCGACAAAGGGCGCATGTTAATTAATTTCTTCAGCCTAAACTAACAGACAAAAAAAACGGCGGAGCTCATCGGATGTCGTCATTTTGAAATACCCCAGATGGTTATAGTTAACACTAAAAAAAGTATCCATGCAGTGAAAGCATTTTCGGTTTTCGGAATGCGTCGATAATAGATTACTACTCCCTTGTTGTCATCCGCGTTTTCTCGCATAACCCTACTTGTGTATTTGTCGTCATTCACTTGATGTTCAGTTAATGAATTTATTACAGGTACAATTAGTGGTAGCACCACTTAGATTACCTGACAAAGGTTCCCATTTGGCATTTATTGTGTCTGGGGTAATTATTCAATCTAAATCCAGGTTTGAAGTGAGGTGAAATGTGTGTTATGTAATATGCACGTGGCAGACCAGCAAGAGGTGAATAATCAGTTGATTTACTTTTTTTTGTAAATCAACGGATCGTTCCTAGTCATCAAAGGATTAACAGAAAATACGTTGATTGATTAATCACTGTTATCTTGCACAGTGGATATGTCAAAAGTGAGTGTTTACATGTCTAGGTTTCCTAAAACAAAGGGAATACACACATATCCTTGCGTGAAGTGCCGATGTAAAAACAACATACTTTGTTCAGAGGGTTAACTGATAATACGTTGATTGATTGATCATTGTTATCTATCACTCAATGGAATTTTTAGGAACCGTGGACGTTATGAAAATAGTTGTCACGTCGGCTTTCTCAGCTGACCCTTGAGACTTGACACCTATGTGAAACACCTGAAACAATCCAAGTGATCGGTTGAGAAACGAACACGGGTTATAATATCCCGAAACGATATATATCTTTTAAAATATGTGATTGTTACAGAGACACGTGACATCGAATAGGTTTCTTTGTACAGCTGCAGACGAGTGGGATATTGTTCCTTTGTGTGGATATTCACGGATACATTCCTCGAACAAGGAAGCTGCCTAAAATTTATACACATAAATTTGGTAGGTTGTAATTATGGTATTTGCATTTTGTTTTCCTTCATTTGCTGTAGCATTGAACCGATTCGTCCTTGTTTCTTTACGTCTAGGTTGGGAAATTCTTCAATGCGCGATAGACGTTGTTTTCACAGGCCTTTCCCCTTGTAAGCGTGTGTATATATTACCGTCAATTTGTAAAATGTAATTCTCTCAGGCAATTTATAAAATGTGTAAATATTTCAGTCATTTTGACTAAAAAATCTGTCCAGATTGATTAAGGCGATCAAAAGGGCCTACAAACATCACAACAGATTATTATGTAGGATTAGAAGCCAAACAACATAGAAATGTACTTTTCAACGTAACATTTTCAGTCTCATGGTAATGACATTAAACATCAAAATGTTTGGAATTCGTTGTCATAATAATACAGATGGAAATGTTTTTCAGTCACTTTGTTAAATAACTGAATATTTAGGCGTTGAATAAATTTGAAAAAAAATATAGTAATATATACACACTATCAAAAAGCAATGCTCAAGTCAAAATAGTGTAAACGAAAATCGAAAATTACCAAGCAAGTGGCTTATCAAAACTTCGTCACCATTACCGATGCTAACCACAAAGATACCTACATTTCCTTATTATCTCCAAAACTGTATTTCATTTTGTTGATCAATGTGACCATCCGCCCTCTATATTACTACCCATACAAGTGACTAATGCGCTTACGAATGGCGCAGCAGAGGTCGCGAACTAGTCTAGATTTCTGCTATACATCCGGGTACTCACTGGGAAAAAACAATAACAAAGGCAACAACCAGTCCCGGGGAATTGCGTTAGATCAGTGCCCCTTTAACAAATGTGTATTCATTTTAGGATTTAAACACTTTCCTAAACATGTTTACATTCTAAACACATATTAGAAATCTGCCACTGCCTGTCCACTCGTTTAGCTAGAGTGAGTGAGTGAGTGAGTAAATACGGTTTTACACCGCTTGTATCAATATTCCAGCAATATCACGGCGGGGGACACCAGAAAGGGGCTCCACACATTGTACCCATGTCGGGAATCGAACCCAGGCGTTCGGCGTGACGGGCGAATCGTTTAGCTAGACAGAACCCATTGGTCGAATGTTGTACATATTGACGAATGTTCGCATTTTTTACTTCAGTTATTATTCTATGATGTCCTGATGATTCAGTGATATGAATGAAATGTATATAGATGCATAAATGTAGATATTATACATGCTTCTATTTTTATTTCTTATTAGATAAAAGTTATTATCTCATGTGGTACGTTTGCTTTCTGTTGTCCGATTGGTTTGTCAAACAGCAATAAGGTCGAGTCGGATGTGTCGACTCCCGGATAAATCGAACTATTTCTCTGTCCCCCAGGAGTTAGAAACTCCGCTGTTCAGGAAACCCCGTACGATTATACATAATTACAATGAACATTACATCATACATTGACGCTTCTCAAAACGTGTTTTGTTTCGTTAACTTTAGACTACAATCAGTTCAGTATTTTATTATCTCCTGGCTTATAGTATCAATAATTTCTAAGTTCAAATTATAATTTTAGAAAGAACTGTTTTCTCGGTTTCTTATTTCATACTCATGAAATTTTCTTTATTGTCTTTGTTATTGTTTTCATACTTTATAGTCTATCTAAAACAGGTTTCCTAACAGGTAATCGTCAAATTCTGTATAATTTCTGTCAGTTGAATAATTCAGGAGTTTCAAAAAGTATTGTCTTGCATGATTCACTTAAAATATTACATACGTTTGGACATTTCATGACATTGTTTTGGTCTATGTACTAGTATTCAGTTGTTAAATCTATTTCCGGAGCGACGTGACGTTCAAGTTGTGTCTGTATGCTTCTGACATAAGTGAGTGAGTGAGTTAAAATTTTGAGTCACATCGGCAATATTTCAGTCAAATCGTGACTATCAAGGGGTAAACATAACAAATACATTGAAGCCAACGAAGGACAATAACTTCTGGGCTTCT